AAGCGTAATAACTAGTGGGCATGGGCTTCCCCATAGCCATTTTCGTTGTACCACTTGAGGAAGGCGCTCTGTGCAAAGGTGTAGGCCACAGCGAGAGCAAAGCCATGGGGAAGGCGTCTGAAGAAGATGTCAGTACAGAGCTGCAGTGGCGTCCTGTAGACCTTGTAGATCCACGCATAATTCCTGCGGGCAAGAAAACAAGAGGTGGTAAAAAATGGACTGAAAGGGACGGGAATGACTGCCTAATATGACTGATAATAGCTTATGGGCAACCGATTTAGCTTGTCTACAGTCCGGAACCTGTCTGTGAACATGATTTTGGGGAGCCTCTAAGGACTCAGGACGTGGGAGACTAAATTTCCCTCAACCTTTCTTGCTAGTATAACTTACCTACTGCCTACCTGGCGGGATGACGTAAGGAAGGAGAGCTAGTCCTACCGGACCGTTCGGGGGGAGGGAGATTGATGAAATTAGCCTAACAACTAGGGAAGCCTGGTAGATTTATTTCCCTAATTGAAGACTGCGGCTGCACAGGAAGCAGCAGAGCCAGGTGGGCGGTGATTGGTCATCCCTTGCAGGCGAGGAGGTCCACCAATCTGGGGTCAGGGTGCAGTAAAGGTATGCGCCTGACGGAGGCAGTGTAGAGGACTTGAGCTGACAGCAAGACAAAATTAAGGCGACTGGGGATGGGCGGGGGCCGCACGACGTGGCCTCAAAGTTCAAACGAACAACACTTCAAAGAAGGAGGGAGTGCCCCGGATGATCAATACGTGAGAGTGCCATAGAAACCATACTGAGAGGGAGTCATTACGGCCTCACCGTCACTCCCAAGTTGGACGGCGTTGTCGTATCTGTTATAAATCATCGCGGCCTATTATTTCCTACTCTAAGTACGAACTAGGGGCATTCGGCTGGTCGCAGGGTCACCGAGCACCCCCTGGTACTACTGAAGTTAGTAAACCTAGTTTGCCCGAAATGACAGCCCAACCGTCGTTACAGACGGTGCCTGTGTTCCCCACGGTAGGGAAGGCGCAGGCACGGTGACTTGCGCGTGGATTAGTTTATGGTAATAGCAGGCTTGCACTCCATCTACCGCACCCTCTCCTGCCCCACCTGGGCCGGGTGTGCACGATAGACTAGGCTTTCACCAGTGCAACAAGGGGAATGCGGGCTGGATCCCATCTGAGTGGATGTGCCACAGTATGGAGCCAATTAAGCTTGACCGAGTTATCCCGGCCGTTTGCAGCCCTCCAGGCCACAGGTTCTAGAGCACCGTAATAGTTTAAATGTGCGTCAGATTGTTTATCGCTGGGAATATGCGCCGAGTGCAATGGGGACGAAATCCGCAGAATCGACCTCAAATTTATGAATAAATCACACTCACATAGGGGAGCAGGTTGGTGACACCTGTAGTCAAAATGCCCCTTTTTAAAAGCCAAAGCCAATGCGAAGAAGCAGTATTTCTGCACAGTGCATGACCGATCTCGTGAAATGTTGGCCGAAATTCTGAAATGCGTTTTCGATTAGAAAGGATTACTTAGGTAGGGTTGTAATATTGATTAGCATGCAGCATAATCCCTTAGTATTTCGGACTCGCCAGGATGTCGGCTTTCGAATGCACTTCTTCTTGACCTCCTGCTTAAAGCACACTCGGTAAAAAAATGACTACTTAAGTAGCATGCATTTTTCCCATTGATTTCCGATGGTCTTATAAATTCAGATATTTTTTTATAGAAAGCATGGACAAAACTATGCTTCCTTTTACTCCTTTATATTTTCTACCCGAAGAAAGTGTATATTTAGGTTTTAGCAAGTTTCTAATTGTGAGATTCTTAAGACCGTGCGATGTCCATCCATACAGGACCGCACATGTCCGTTTACCAATGCTTCTCATGAATTGTACAGCACAGTCCGGATTCATTGCAAAATTCTCTGGACACTAGATAGTATCTTCTTAAGGGCGTAGAGAAATGTATGATTTTCCTCACGCGGAAAGCATGCATCTTGTAGACTGAAGTCGCTAAAGGCTAATGCAATGGCAGATCGGGCTCAAAATTATTCGGGAATCGGGGAACTTTTTCAAACCTAAAAAGACACTTTTTCGGGCATAAAATATGAAGACAATGTGATTTTCTACCAAAGGAGTCAAAGAAAGCATAATTTTGCGCATGGTTTATATGAAAAAATATTTGAATTTACAAGACCATCGGAAATCAAGAGAAAAATGCATGCTACTTAAGTAGTCACTTTTTGCCGAGTGTGCTTTCTGCAAGAGCTCAAAAAGAAGTGCATTCAATATCCGAAATCCCGGCGAGTCCGAAATACTAAAGGATTATGCTTCATGCTAATCAATATTACAACCCCATCTAAGTAATCCTTCCTAGTCGAAAATGCATTTCAGAATTTTGGCCAGCATTTCATGAGATCGGTCACGCACTGTACTTGGCAAGTGAAAAACCGCGAGCCGAAACAAAAAAAGATATAAAGGTTGACAATAAATTTGCTTCGAGTAGTATACTGTTGAGTATGCCGTTGGCCACTCTTTAGCTTGCGGTACACTTAACGGAACCCATCTTTACTACAGCAACCAACGGAGCAAGTTTTGGACAGAGAAGGCTCATCGGAAGGCAGAAATTGACAATCGAATTGTCCGCGTGCAGGAGAGTGAAGAGTTAGAAATGCACCTATATTGTGACATGCTAATCTAGTATGACAACTCTCTCTCCCGTCGAGCGCCCTGCCGCACTAAGCCAATCACCGGTCCGTGTGGCCCCGGGGCCACGCGCGCACGGTAGTCGCCTAGCCAATGACAGGCGCCCAGACGGAAGTCCAGCTGCAAAAGCTAGCGTACGCACCACCACCTGTTATCTGATTTCATTAAAAGGATTTCAAAAACTAGTGTAACCGTAAGTTGTTTTCACGGCATACGACATGCGATTCAGTAGGTGTGCTATTTCCCTGGGTCAAACAGGCATAGGCAAGAACCATACGGTGATGCTGAACAACAGGTTACTCCCGGTTGTAACTACACGGTAATTGGGTCAGTTCATCGGGGGATCACAGTACACATTAAGTTGGATGGGCGCCTGGTGTAATCGTGGAGTGGGAAACGTGGACAGGTTGCGCACTCTGCCCGGTCATCGGACCACAGTCCGCACTTTGCTCTGATCATTGAGAATTGCTGTGTCTTGGCAGAAAACTGATGAAGATAAACAGCTAGAAGGGCGGTGGTCTGCAACGACAGAAGCCTGTGAGTTAGAGAACAGGAATTTGAAGAATTGCGTCCCTTAAATTCTGTTGAGTTTCGCATATGACCGCAACGTTGGGCAGAAAGACTGCGTATGAAATAACCATAGCCCTTAAACGAGCCTGCACTGGGCCAACACGGGAGCTAAATCGGAGTTCGGTATGCTTCATTTGACAGGGGAACCATAACGAATACCATGCATGGGGTGTGATGGCACGCCTAGGTGCAGGTTCGCGCCGGACCAGCCACCCGCACCCTCCAACGTCTTCGGCCTTCTTGACCCTGTCATAACGCCAGGCTCAGGTGGGAGAGGAGGGGAGAGTGCGGTGGATGCATCGCAAGTCTACTATCGCTATAAACCGATCCGTGTGTAAGTTGTCGTCCATGCGTCCACCGCGCTATAGGCAATGCGGTGGGCATCGTCCGAATCGGCGGTCAAACTGTCGTACAAAGTAGCTGAATCGTGGGGACACTTTCCTCATTAAATTACTATTGCCATCTCCAGAGAGAGGTTCTTGTGGATACCCTTAATAAGTTTGAGCCGAGACTTTAAGGATAAAGCTGTGCATTGTTAAGAGGGGGGCATCTGAAGTTTTGTACGTTCTGCTGTCAAAGATTATCCAGAACGCACGATCTAATTGAAAACTAGGTTTGATTCAGCCGATTTTCCAACATTAACCATATAGGTCAGATGAAAGTGGCATTTACACGTCCTTCGGCGCATCCAAACCCGACTTCTGTGCGGGTAATCCGGAAAATTACTGTTCCCAGGACTTAATCAATCCCATTGCATGTAACCCAATGTTGGGCCTTTTAAAGCTCCCGTAATGTTGCGCGGCTTGGTATCCGTATTGCACACCGGTCCACAGTCGCCATACGCAACTGGTTCATGAACATCAAAGACAAGTCAAGGTTGGGCAGACAACCTGGTATCACCGTACCAGGCGACAGGTGGCATGGCGCACAGGTTAATGGTCGACCGTGGGGCCTTGCGACCCGCTGTCACAAATCGCCACCTTAACTCCCGAGGCCGCAGCCGCGAAGGAGATTGCCTGTACCCAGTGTACAGTGCTTGACAGATCTCATGAAATGTTGGCCGAAATTCTGAAATTCGTTTTCGATCAGGAAGGATTACTTAGGTGGGGTTGTAATATTTATTACCGTGTGGCATAATTCTATAGCATTTCGGACTAGCCAGGATGTCCGCTTTTGGATGCACTCCTTCTTGACCTCCTGCAGAAACCGTAAAAAATGTCCACTTAAGTAGCATGCATTTTTCCTCAGGACTTTCGATGGTCTTATAAATGCAAATATCTTTTATAGAAAACGTGTACAAAATATGCTTTCTTTTACTTGTTTGGTAGAAAATAACATTGTATGTTACGCAAGAAGAAAGTGTACGCTTGGGTTTTAAAAAAGTTTCTAATTGTGAGATTTTCAAGACCGTGCGATGTCCATGCATATAGGACCGCGCATGTCCGTTTACCACTGCCGTTCATGAAATGTACAGTACAGTTCGGATCCATTGCGAAATTTTATGAACTCTAAGTGGTATCTTCTTAAGGGCATAGAGGAATATATGATTTTCCTTACGCGGAATGCATGCACCTTGTTGACTGAAATCGCTGAATGCAATGGCAGATCTGACTTAAAAATATTCGGGGACTGGAAAACCTTTTTAAAAACTAAATATACACTTTCTTCTTGCGTAAAATACAAAGACAGTGCTGTTTTCTACCAAATGAGTAAAAGAAAGCATATTTTGTACACGTTTTCTATAAAAAATATTTGAATTTATAAGACCATCGAAAATCCTGAGGAAAAATGCATGCTACTTAAGTAGTCATCTTTTTACAAAGTACGGTTTCTGTAGGAGGTCAAGAAGGAGTGCATCCAAAAGCCGACATCCTGGCGAGTCCGAAATGCAATAGGATTATGCCGCACGCTAATCAGTATTACAACCCCACCTAAGTAATCCTTCCTGATCGGAAACGAATTTCAGAATTTCGGCCAACACTTCATGAGATCGGTCGCGCACTGTAGGGTAGGCCGTGAACTGATCAGTCTGCAGCACTTGTAAGCGCTTGATTCACAGGCATATCGACCTTCTGTCGGCCTACAAATGCTTTGCACAGGAACCTACGGACTTGCACGAACGGACTGGTAGTTTTGGCTCAACGGTTAGCAGACGGAAGGCATTCAAGAATAACGTCTCTGTATTGAGAGATTGACTTACCTAACCCATGGGTCCTTCAGACCAAGGGCTTGGAGACGCTTCACGTGTCTGACCATAATTGGGTGCTCGACCTTGTAGCTCCTCCAGTCAGGACATTTCCAGTTCACGTTTGCACTCGAAAGACTAAAAAAACAAGAGAGAGAGAGAGTTTACATTATCGCGGACAGAGTAAATAAATAAGCCACAAGTCTAGAACATCGATTTCTGGTAATAAAATGGTCAGTCCGCCTAAGAGCCTGTGGCGATGGCGCATCCGACGACGACGACGACGACGACAGATACCATGGCAGCTCGTCTGTGACAAGCGGCCACGTTCATCAGTGCTCGGGAAGGGCGCAGTAACGATTCACGCGTGAATCTGTTCATAATGAAAAGGATCTACACATTATCACATTGTTATTTCCTTCCAACCGCACCATGGTCCGACAGGTGAGCTGAGTCAAGACAGTCGGATTGGCGTGGATGCAGTAACTGAAGTCATCTCTACGCGTGCCACACACGGTGTGGCCCCCAACCCCACGTAGACCAGGCTCTTATCGAGGACAGTCGCCTTAAAATCTGAAACTGGGAGGAGCCATTGCTGTCTGGTTCTCGCTGCAATGAAGAGCCGAGTGATTTCATTAGTCAGCCATCCTCTAAACCAATGATTTGCGTTTTGTATGAGTATGGAAGAATGTTTGGCTGTTTACATTTAGAAGATTGTGCATTAGACATAGCCCATCCTCGGTCACTCCGCATTTTCCTGTGTAACTTTGATTTTGCGAACGCCCAGTTTCAGTTCAAATGTGCGGGATGCAAAAACTATTCGGCTAGGAGTGGATCCTTATTCTTCGGCGTAATTTCTAAGACGATGTCATTGGCATAGGCAAGATTCAAGGCAGAGCCTTATCAAAGCCGGACGCCCTCGTAGTCTTGTTAAAACGGACTGAAGAAAGAGCGAAATATAAACGGACAACGATGTTGGTAGCGAGGTACTCGCTCTCTTAACCAGAAACTCCGATTTCTCTATGCGCGGGTCACTAATAAGATTGATCAAGTCAGTAAGCTTCGGAACGCATCATCAGTCTTCACTAACTTGCAGTGAGCAGTTTGGTTGACTAAGGAAACAGACCATCGTCTCCAATTGAAAACAATGTTACTGCTCAGGGTTCATCTCAGGGTTACTATTTGCTCAACACATCCCCAGTAGGGCGGAAATCGACTTGTGCGAATTTTCCCACCGATGTTCAGTGCCCCCACAAACTCAAAAAAACATCACTTCAGCTCCTTTGTCTTAGCTTGGCAGTGCTCGAAGACTCTGAAACGGCACAGTACTTGGAGGGGGCGGTCATTGTGACAGAATTATTGTCCTGCGTTTTCTCGTATGCGGGGCGGCGGGTTACCCGTTTGCCAAGCTGCTGGCTACGTGGCGTGTCCACAGGTGGCGGATGGCACAAAAGACTTCAGCGAATGTTAGCTCCGAGAAGAGAAGGCTCTCGAATCTGACGAATAAGCAGTTGGGGACCAGCAGCGACAATGCAACCGAAGCGAGAAGGGCCGGCGTCTGGCGCACAAATAACCTTATAGTGTCGCAAAACCTGATGACGGCATTTTGTCATGGTGACCGTGAACCGTCATTAAATAAGTTTTTTGCCACCACTGTCTTGTGGTTGAGGTTCTAAGACTAAGTGCGAAAAAAATTCCAAGAAACCGCATGGAAATATCCAATTGCAGTATTACGGCGTCTACGGGAATCGAGGAGCCCTGCAACCTCAGCCAAGTGGTGCAAACGAATCGTATGAGAGATTGACTACCCAATCGGGAACGGGCTCTTGGTAGTTAAAAGTGGAATTTGCAAATTTTTGGACCCTGGCACCCCAGGTCTGACGTCGCGCAGTCATTATCAGTACAAAGTAGATGTCTGCTGCCCGTCAGAAGCCCGAACCCCCCACTCGGGCACTCGAGAAATAGAGATACGGGGAGTCAGCTCCCACTTCATATTGTACTGCAGCGACTCAAACGATTCTTCTGGTAGACATGGTGTGGCAATCGCCCTCTAACAATGGGCGAGCCGTGCACTATTGGCATGGGAACCATTCAATGACCGGACGGGTTATGCCTGACTGAGGGATCATTTTAGAAACATCTCTGTCGCCTCCATGTACGCCCAAACGTAAGTTGCAAACCGGCACAATCAGGGCGTGGATAGGCGGACCAGAAACACCGGGACGAATTCTGAAATTTTGCCATGGCTGCTAGCAATCGACGCCGTTTGTTTTGTTGACTTCACCACTGCGGTTGATTTTGTCTATCGCGAGTCTCTGAGGCGGACAATGCAGCTAGATGGTTTGTCGGCCAAAATAATCGCCAAACCACGGCCTACTATCGCCCCACCAGTGCGCAAGTTCTAGTCTGTAACAATCTGCCACAACCAGTTTACGTCCGATCTGATGCTCGACAATGTTGAGTCCTGTCGCCCATTCTGTTCAATTACAGCACTGACTAGATTCTCGAAAAGACACTAGGTTTTTAAGGTGCGGAGTTCGCACCCCAACGGCATTTGACTGGTCTTGACTACGTTGACGAGGTCGCCTTGATAGCCTCAAGCTCTGGTGATCTAATCTGTAATGTCACGGGTAAACAGAGTCGTTAAATTTACCAGTTTTCCCATAAACGCTGAGATGGTGTTTTCAGGTTGCAGTAGACAGTTTCAAATACCTCGGAGGGAGGCTGTTGCCCAACGGACAAAGTAAGGGCGACATCGTCCCCTGAATCGATGCTGTCCGAAAGGTTTTTCTAATTCTTAGTGCCGATGAGCCCAATATGACACTTCAATCAACACGAAAATCTGCGCGTGCCGTGAATCCGTCCAGTAAGTCCTCTTCTACGACTGCGAATGCTGGGTTTTGCACGTAGATGGGAGAAAAACGGAGGCATTTGACCACCGCTACCTGAGGACCATCCATCGAATTAGGTGAATCGACTTAGCCTCGGATGAGACGGTCCGCACTCGCCGTGACAACATCGCGAATATGTGTCAGGTTATCCAAGAAGACTTTGATGGCTTGAGCAACATCAATTTTAAGGGCTGGAGTATGAAGGACTCATTGGTTGGCTGATTACAAAGATAAGTTAGCAACATTTAGATGCATACAACAAATACAGTAGGCCACTATCAGCTAACCTCAGCCTGTTGGAGACACGGCTTTCACGAAACTGTTCAAGAGGGCCCTCAATGCCTGCGCCAGAACACTAGTCTTGGGTGATAGGTTCACTTATCTCTCATGATGTTCATATCCACTGCACGCGGTAAATGGGCTTCCCTGACCAGATTACAACAGCATTTGACTTTTTGTACAAGGAACTCAGATTTTACTGCCTGTGTGGGGCTAGTTATCAGGTTAAACTACAAGGCACAACTGACATCTGACTCCACTAAGGCCAGTAACGAGAACGGACGGTTGTCAACGCTGCCAAAAGTCAGCTAATCATAAAATAAGCCACGGGTTAACATCAAACGCTAGCCTTGCGGCAGAGCAACATTGCACACTCACGGTCAAAAGATATTAAAATAACTTCCGCTCAAATTAATTTTGGGGTGATGGGGCTTGTGAATTGAAAGACTTTGAGGGAAAATTCATACAATAGGGGTATGGGGAAAACCGTTCGAATATGGCAAATGCGTACTTCACCGAAAGCTTCGCTAGCACGGTCAGACCCACGGCTGTTGCCGTATGGCGATGTATCACGACTTTTCGATATCGCCTCGACAGCATTAAATTGAACGAAATTCGCGCCCAGACGCCGTACTCATCGTGAATTTTCGAAAGCGAGTCGCCATCGCCTTGATATGAAATTCGTACTAGGGATTGTACAATCAGGATACTGGGATACGCGCGAACCGTGATGCATATTTTACCGAATAACGCAATCAAAACAGGTCTTAAAGTATTCCACGAAGAACACCCGTGCAAGTGCACGGAGACTAAATTCACCGGAGTATTTGCTGTGTATGGTTATCGGTAAATACAATTCGAGGAGAATAACGAACCCAGAGGAGAGATGCATCCGAGTCCAAGATCGAATCAAGCACCAATTTAATAGATGCACTTAAACATAGAGTATTCAAACGAACACTTGATGAGAAAACCGTTAGAGGTGACCCCATGCCTTATTGCTTTTTCGCCAAAATATTGTAGATATGGAGCTCAAGAAAGAAACTCTAGTGTTCAGCCGAAATCTACAAATGGGTTATTAGTGGTTGGACAACGCATAAACGGTCAACTTTCGGCCACAAAGAACGGTGTGACGGAGGCGCCATCAGTCGAGCTGCTAGACAAACTTTTAAACTCAGGAGCGGAGTTAAATCGATTAAACGTGAGGGCAATGTTGAGGGCGCCTCCCACGTTTGAAAAGGTTACGAAGGCACTCAGTCTGCACATTTGCGAACGGCATGAATGCAGGTAAATGACAAGGACTTATTGCTTGTTTCTGATGCGTGGATTGCTTCGATTACAGAAATAAAGGGTAAGTATGTTGAAACACGACCCACCCCGTACTTCCGCTATGATTGTTAAAGGAAATCACAACGTTCCCCAAGTACCCCCTCACTATGCGGAATGCTTGCGGTTTGTTCCCGCGAAGGTGCCTACAACTGAAGGGGAAGGTGTTCAGATTTACTAAGCGGATAGCGTAAGAAATGGGCTTTAACCCCTATCCATATTTTTGGCTCTCCCCTGAACCTTTTGAAGCAAGTTTGGTCTTGAACAGCCCATTGTCTTCAGGCTTGTATGCTGTATTCCAAGTGCGGCCGCACGAATTTCCAAATGTCTGTGAGAAAGAGTCTTCATCAAAACCCTTAAATGCACGCTTGATGGCGCACGGTACGGACGTTACGCGTTTTGCCACTCTTGAACAATTAACGGATGTTTTAAGGGGTTCGTCGTCAGCACACCGATGTCCATTTGAGCTTCGATGTCTCGTAAAGCTGCACCGCCCAGTAAGTAGTCTGTTCAGATTGGAAAAGTTTAGAGATCCGGGAAGATTATTAGAAAAAGAAAATTGGCTTTCCGGAATAGGTTTATTCAACCGCTGACGTTTCAAAGAGCTGGGTCGGCTCTTCATTTTCAAAGCGTAAACTGCACCTAATCGATCAGAAATTTCATTTAAAGTGGCAAGCTGTGTTGGCTGGCCTCATGCTGATAGGTTTTTTCTCTCCTCCTGCTGCGTCGGCCTCTCAGGAAATGGTTGACGGGTGTTTTTGCCTGTGCGCTTTATGAGTCACCACTCCGTCGAGGGGAGCTGATTGGACTTTAGTCGGGCGGTCGGTCTGGCGGTTCTTGTTCTTCCTCACCGAGTAAGCTCAGCGTCGGGCTATCTCCGTGCTGTCTTCTTAAGTCCGGTGTGGTTGTTTGGTCCTGAGCTCTACGTTTGTGATGACGTAGGACTTTGTAAGCTGCAGGAAGGTCCAGATGCCTGTTGATAGAGTGGGCATCGGAGAACCACGCCTCGAGAGTTAGCCGTTCTGTTTTTGTGTTGCCTCGGCCTAAGATGGTAGCCCTCTGGAGGTCAAAAGTATGCCCCGTTTCCCCAACGTGTGTTGCTAGTTGAGAGTTAGGGTCAGAAGAGACGAAAGATTTGATACGTCACCAAACCTCCTCGTTGCTCATGCGACACAGAAGGTGCGAAACTCTTAGTAATATGGGACAGCGGGCACTGAAAAGCCTAAAAGCAATCAAGGACATAATTATTCTGCCAGCAGACAAAGGACGTTCAACAGTTGTGCTAGACAAATCGGATTACCAGAACAAGGTACAGGACTTACTCGAAGACCAGCATTCATACAAACGATGTCATGCCAACGAAATGAAAAATCTAATCACCCGGATAAACAAAAGCCTAAGAAATCTCAAAGCCAAGGGGGCGATTACACCCAACGACTGGTTCTCCATGAAACCCACTGACACCGCCACGGCTCGTTTTTACGGTCTACCGAAGGTACACAAGGCAAATGTCCAACTCAGGCCAATCGTATCCCTTCGGGGCACTCCGACGTACGGTTTGGCAAAATGGATGTTCGGTCGTCTTAAGTTTTTGGCCGAAGGCTCACCAACAACAGTTGCATCTGCGTATCAATTCCTCGAACGAATAAAACATCTGAGGTTAGAGCCAGACGAGTCCATGGTATCCTTTGATGTCGTGTCGTTCTTCACCTCCATCCCACAGCAACTAGTGATAGATGTTGTGGACGAACTACTGGCAGAGCGTTATGAGGAGAGAGATAGACCTCTGAAGTCTGAGCATCTACTCGAGCTTCTGCGATACTGTCTTAAGACCTATTTCACTTTCAACGGACAAATGTACGAACAAATAAAGGGCACTCCTATGGGCTCCCCTATATCAGGCCTAATTACTGAAGTAGTCCTTCAACGGGTAGAACACTTGGTGTTTACCAAATATCAACCAAAGTTCTGGGCCCGCTATGTCGATGACACCTTCGTCGTTGTCAAAACAACTGACATTGAACACCTAAAGGGACTACTGAACTCGGTTGACCCGGATATACAATTTACGATGGAAGCGGAAACAAACAACCAACTGCCCTTCCTTGACGTACTTGTGCGCCGGTGTACCACTGGACAGCTGCAAACTACAGTATTCCGAAAATCCACCGACACGAGAGAGATCCTACACTTCAACAGCAACCATCCACTGTCTCACAAACGTAGTTGTGTCCGCACTCTATTCCAAAGAGTCGAAACACACTGCAGCACACCAGAAGATAAAAGGGCCGAACGATTGTACCTTGTGGACCTATTTGCAGCCAATGGTTATCCCAAGCATTTCATCGAGAGAAGCAGACGTTGGGCGCCCAGACAACGGCCAAATGAGCAGCAACCCGAAGTCTGGAGGACCATTCCTTACGTTAAAGGGGTCTCTGAAGCGGTCTCGCGACTGTTACAACCCACCAGAGTAGGCATAGCCCATCGACCATAGGCAACAATTCGACGTCGCCTGATGCAACTTAGAGACCCATTGCCACACGCTGAAACCTCAGCAGTCATCTACAAAATAAATTGCAATGAGGGCGACTGCAACTATGTGGGCGAAACTGGGCGGAAATTGCAAACTCGCCTACAAGAACATAAATCGGCCACTCGGAGGTTAGACCCTAACTCTCAACTAGCAACACACGTTGGGGAAACGGGGCATACTTTTGACCTCCAGAGGGCTACCATCTTAGGCCGAGGCAACACAAAAACAGAACGGCTAACTCTCGAGGCGTGGTTCTCCGATGCCCACTCTATCAACAGGCATCTGGACCTTCCTGCAGCTTACAAAGTCCTACGTCATAACAAACGTAGAGCTCAGGACCAAACAACCACACCGGACTTAAGAAGACAGCACGGAGATAGCCCGACGCTGAGCTTACTCGGTGAGGAAGAACAAGAACCGCCAGACCGACCGCCCGACTAAAGTCCAATCAGCTCCCCTCGACGGAGTGGTGACTCATAAAGCGCACAGGCAAAAACACCCGTCAACCATTTCCTGAGAGGCCGACGCAGCGGGAGGAGAGAAAAAATCGATCAGCATGAGGCCAGCCAACACAGCTTGCCACTTTAAATGAAATTTCTGATCGATTAGGTGCAGTTTACGCTTTGAAAATGAAGAGCCGACCCAGCTCTTTGAAACGTCAGCGGTTAAATAAACCTATTCCGGAGAGCCAATTTTCTTCTTCTGGTTAGTAGTCTGTTGTACTTGCGGATCTGACTGTGTGGCCTAGGCGAAGTATGCTATAATTACCAACGTTGAACCGCAGAAGCCAACGGTTTGACCACCCTTCCAACCGATTTATGTTCATCTGCGATCTGTCTTCGTCGGCAGGGCCACGAATTACACTCCATATCTTCAAGTCGTTTGCAAACATTGCTAATTCAAAGTACACAGATCTTATGCAATCGTTCACGTATATTAGGAACAAGATGGGCTCCAGTACTGAACGCTGGGGAACCCCACTCTTGACCGTAGCAAGACCTGATTTTCCTTAACCGATTAACAGCACCTGCTCTCGACCCACAAGAATGTTTCCGATCCATTTAAGGGAGTTGCCTCTGATTCCTTTTTTTCCAGTTTGTGTAACAGTCTCTGGTGTGGCACAGTGTCGAACACCTTCTGGAATTCGGTGAAAGGTGTGTGGACCGCATGCCTGTCGTCCAACTTTGGAGAGATTACAACAAGTTTTAATCCCCAAGGTGACCTACGGAGTGCGAAGCTCGCTAACAAAGCCGTCGGTCCTGAGAGTTACGCATGAAATTTGAACATAAATAAGATTCCAGGATCACACTCTACACGACAATAATAATTACATTTAATGCCAGTTTACAGGCATTGTCGATGAAAAATAAAGCACATATCCGGCCAACAGTGAACATGACCTCCTGGAGTAAATAAAGTGGGTAGTGTTTTAAGTTATTTAGATGGTTCAGGAGAAGGAAACTGCTGCCCGTGAAATGACCTCAGTTCTCATGGGATGAGACTGAGTAGGGGGCCATCAACTCCATCACTACGGAGGATTAATTCGGTGGATTCAGCAACCAGAAGTTGTGAGAGTTTTTCTGATTGCAAAAAACGAAAACTAGCCCTCTTAAACAATAAATAATTTTGCAGAAGCCTCACACTCCTGCTTAGCTTATCAAAACAGCCCTGCCGAGGTCAAGCTGCCCATCTCAATTTCAAAGATAAGTGAGGCTTTGCCCATACTCTGATATTCCTAGGCAATCAATGCCTATTTTTTATTTGAGTCCTTTTTAAAAGTCGCCTTTCATTGCCGGGCATAATCTCCCCACGTCATGTTACACAGTCTGGTAAAGTAGCCGTGTTTTGCAAAGTGCCTTTTTAATGACTCCGTGTCAGACCATTTCTTTCTAATTTTTGTAGTAAACTGCCAGTTGTATTTGCTATTCTGTGCGTTTTGCTGTATGCTAGCACAGTTTCGACCCTTGCATTGCAACAGAAAACCTATCTAGTACCCTGTAATACACCGAAGTCGGAAGCTTGCGGCCTCGCGG